TCCTTTTCAAGCTCAGAAGCAATAGCTGACCTCTGATGATGAAGTTCGGCGATTTAACGGTCAAGATCAGCCAACCTTTCCTTTTTTACCTTTATTGCCTCGAGCTCTGGTCGGATAGCTTCATGAGTGACCATTGCAGCCTTAAGGTCGACCTCTGCTCGAATAGCCTTCTCAAAAACAGTGAAATATTGTCGAGTTCTTTCCAGGACAATTAATAGATGAACAACACTCTCATTGCTCAGTAGGTCGTCGGATGCAAGGTCATTCAAGCACTCTCTCATATAGTTGAGACCTTTGCGTTGGAGGATGGCAGAGAAAGAAGTTGTGTTAGACCAACCGAGAAAAAACTTCGACCATGTCTGCTAGTTTGTTGGTCGAACCCAGATAGCTTAATGGCCGAGCCCAATGTTTAAGGCAGCTTTTTAATTCATGCGGCCGATGAAGGTTATATATGTTTGATAGCCACTAGGGTGGCCAGGAAATATAAATAACGCCCTTCAGTGCATAGAATTTTTGGTGAAATGAACGATTGGGCACCTGATATTTAATGTTTTCTTGGTTTAGAGTTATAAGGTAGGAAATTAGTAAAAGAAAATGATGATGAGGCTTACAAAGATCGAAGTGACCTTATGAGGAGGGATGCCAATGTTCTGGTCATTGGGATAAACCAGTGTCTCTGTCATTGCTTCTAGTTCAATAGAAGGTGCCGCTTCATGTCCCGAACCTACTTAGGCCGCTTGAGGGTCAACCTAGCTAGCCACCTTGACTGCCGGTTGGAGATCACCTAGAGAGGATGTGACACCTTTGACCTTGTCCAAAGGCAAGGGACTTGTAGTAGGTGGTCCAACCCATCGAGGATACCTCGTTAGCGAGGGTATTTCGCTATCGTTCTCCTAATCATAAAAAATGATTATTCTTTAGTCGAGAGATCTAGTCAAAATGAAAAGAGAACATTATTAAAGGAAATTGTTATACCTTTTCCTCCAGGACGATCACTGGATTCTTCTTTGGATTAGGGGAAAGGTTTCTTTTGTCGTTGTCACATTCTCCAGAGTAACAGTTGTTGGGCCGAAATCAACAGGGGCGACGGCCGACCCCGGAGTTACAAGTTCCTTAACATTAGGGCTACGACTGGTTCAACTTCAACAGCGGCTTGTGGGTGGGTCGAACCATGATCTCCTGGCCCATGGTTGGGGTCGAGAGGTCTTGGGGTACAGTTGTTGAGACTTGGATAACAGGAGAAGGGAGAGGGATACTAAGAGTAGTCGTTTCTGTGATCTGACTTGAAATAACATAAATCTCCCACTCTCCCTTCTTTGCCTTTTTCTTAATACATTTTTGGGGCTGGGCAACGTTACCAGTTGTCTCGGCCTTCGGGCGAGGCCGTTTGCTCGGTGCAATCGGCGCAGCAGTGGCCACTACTAGAGTTGGAGTGGCCTTTTCGGCTAAGGGAGTTGCGATAATTGCAGCCTTCTTTAGAGGATGAGTGAGTTTCCTTTTGGTTGCAACCATCTTAACCATATCGACCCTATTTTATTGCACGACCACTTGGAAAAACTAAGCCTGAGTCAGAATGAAGTTTGAATAGACGAACAGAGAAATAAAAGATATATACCTTGAGCCGTTTCTTTAGATTTTAGAGCAAGAGTCTTCTTTACTCAATCACCAAAAGCTTATTTGAAGTTTCCTTGGCCGAAGCACCGAAGAAATCCTTGATGTAAGCATCCCACTAATCGGTAATGGGTCTCTAGAGTATTCGACCGAAGGCGAAATTTAGTACATTGCTATTGGAATTCCTACTCGGCTTCCTCGCATTCCTTCTCCAAGGAGCCAGAGAGGCATTTTTGGCTCAAGAATGAGTGAAAGGTGAGGTGTGACACATGACAACCCTGAAGGAAGCCCAATTAACAAGCCATAAAGTTGAGATGGTAAACTTCCCAGCTGGCTTGTCAAGCATCGCAACTAAAGAAAAAGTCGCGAGCTAGGGTAAACGGCTTCCAAGATTGTCAAAAGTCAGTTTCCGCTGTTTCCTTCCATGCCGATGTGGGGAGTTTGATGGAAGACGGATATTTTTGGCCACGGTAGATTAGAAATTTATAGTCTGATAGATCTTCAAGGCCGAAGAAATACTTGATGATGTCTTTGGCCAAGTGAGTAAGAATGGGACACGTGGCCAGTTGAAGACCCATCGTTTCAAAAGAGTTGAAGCTTGGGATTTCTAGCTTTAGCGTGGAAACATAGACCTGTTGCCAAAGTTGAAAAACGTAGAGTGGGCTATTTTGGTGTGGATCAATCTTCCTAACAGAAGCCTCGACCAAGCACCGGTTGAGGTTAGCGAGGATGGCCAGGCTGAGGCCCAGGACATGACCACTAGCCAGAGCTTCGGCCACCGGTATATTTTTAGCCAAGCACTTGTTTGACTTGGTACAAAAGATGAATTTATTGTACCAGTAAAACAAGAATGCCTCGTGCTCTCCTTTCTTGAGATCTTCCTTCTCTGAACCAGCAAAGTGGTTGATTAAGGTGATGTTATAGAAATTTTTGTGCAATTTATGCATATCTTCTTTTGACGGCTCCTGATGCTTCTTTGTGAAAACCTCAATAGCACAATCGTCGAAGATTGCTTTCAGATCTAAATCGAATTGATACCGGGAAAGCTTGGTATCAATTGGGAGACCAGAGGGAGAAGTGCCGAGTATAGCTATGAGGTCTAGCACGGTTGGACCAATAGGGCCGAGAGGAAAAACCATAGTGTTTGTGGCTGAACACCGAAAGCTCAAGGTGGCCATCAGGAGTTCTTGGTCCATGTTGATTTCAAAGGTCGAGAGTTTGATAGCGTAAAAAATGCCAAGAGTCTTCCACTCATTACTAAAGTGTGGCTCCATTCGGGTAACCCAAGCAGCCCAGGTCATGGGGTCGAGGGCCAGGCTCTTTGAGGTTTGGTTAATTCCCAATTTGACTAATCATGCCCTTGGAATAAGGGTTTTAGGCAGTGGCCTTGCAACATCTCAATGATGATTTCTGGGACGTTGTCCTTAAAGAGTGGTCCCAGAATCTAGTGAGTGGTGTTTGAATCACCCTCAAATTGAAGGGTTTAGATGGCACTCCGATCGATGAAGTCTTGGCATTTGTTGCATTCCTTAGTGATCTTAGTGATGAAAATATTAAAGGCCATTGATGAAAGTTTGGAGTTTTTCTGGGTTTCGAGGTTTGGGTTCTTTTTCTAGGTTAGGAGCAAATGGCAAGAATTTATGAAGGTTGAAAGCGTGAAAGTTCGAATGAAGCTGGGCAGAGTATTTATAGGCAATTGAGAGAGAAGATCAACAGTTTAGGTTTAAGAAATGAAGAGCAAATCCGACTGAAGAATTTCGTAATCATAACGAATCTTTTGAAAATCCAAGTGAAAAGGCTGAAAAGCACACTAATTGAGGTTACATGATTGTGTGTAACGACGAAGTTTATGACAAAGAGACATTTAAGTGTCTGCACGCCTCGAACGTGCGAATATGAATTATTGAAGATGGACAGTCGTGATGAGGAGCTGCCACGTGTCAAGAAAATTGATAGATGTGAGACGTTGTGCTTAATAAATGCGTTTGGTTGGTTGGAGTATTCGAGGCTTGCAATGTTTTCTGGTGTTTCTAGAAGGAATATGCTAAAGGTTTATTCTTTGGCAATGAATCACTTCTTCAAGGTTGAGGATCGGCCAAGAATTGTTGGCCGAAGACCTCAGAAGTGAAAGGGCAATGTTTGGGCCCAAAATAATATTTTGGGCCGAGCTTAGAGTTGTTCTCGGCCCAGTAACATTCATCTAGAATCTTGTCATGGGCTATCCAGTCAAGGTCGGTTGAATCCTGTTGCTAGGAGGATTGATTTAGATAAGGGTGAGGTAGTCGAACCCTAGTGCAACAAGGAGTCTTAAAGTTGAAGATGCATAGAATTAGGGGATGAATCTGGTTCATTAAGGAGCTTGGTTCAAAGTCCCATAGGGATTAGGATTAGTCGAAACATTATCAGATTTGGTTGAGGAGTTAGAATCTGAGTACATTTTTAGTTTGGCCATAAGGGGGTTCGTTGCTATAAATAGAGAAGGGAGTGCATCATTTAGGGCCCCTCCAAATCAACACACAAATTGCCCTACGTAAAGCTTCTCAACAACCTTGAGATTTTTTCCTCTTCCCCTTTCTTTCCGCCAACACATCTTCAGTTTGGATAGACAGCACTACTTCAAGGCCGATTGGTTATTTATCCAAGTCTCGGTCAACAAGGATTTCCGAGTCCTTGTTGGTAGAGGTCATCTCATCAGCCTTATCAGTGAAATGAGGTGTTACCAGATTACTAGGCTCAGCACATTAAATGTCGAGTATTATTTTATGATTGGATATTCACAAGTATATTTTAGAGTTTGGCATTCCGACGGCCAAACCACATTTACAATCAAGACATTTATCTCTTTTGATTATTTCTGTCTGTACAGTCTAGTATCAGTTCGGCGTATTTATACTCTCACGAATATAATTACCAAGACTGAACTCGATGTCGATGATTTGTGAACTTTGAAGAAACTAGCAGCCTTGTCTTCAGGCTCTAGAACCCAAAGATCGAGATGTGTTCCTTTCCCGACCGCAGTCGTAAGATGAAGAAGTCAGCAGCGCGCTCAACGCGTACATCAACATATTTTACTCCTTAGCACGTCTTGCAGTCAATCGAATGACATAGTTAGCTTATTAATTACTTGGCATTTGCGCCACTTAGGCTTGGTAGTTTTTAGGGTCAATAGGGACTCACTCTACATCGAACTTCAACAATTCGAATTGCTTATTTTGAAAGTCTTGATTCATAGATTATCCTTACAAAAAATCAATTCAATCCTAAAAAAATTACTCTAAAAATTAAGTAAATTGAAATTCACAGAGAAAAAAAAGTAAATTAAAATTTGCTGAAAATATAAGATAATCTCAAAATTTATTGATTGAAAATATGAAAGATAATACACCATATCGTCTTAAAGGAGATTTAATAATGCCAGTCAACTCTAGATTTTTTAGGAGTTGAAATACGAAACGAATTACACCAATAACAAAATACTGAAAAACTTGGAAAATCATAATGCTAATAAAACAGGTAAATGATATAATACGGCTGAAAAAGTTCATATGTCAAGGCTTAGGCGTGATTTAGACTCGTGGCGTCGTCCCATATACTTTCTTATTTGAAATATTAAATGGCCAATACAAACAAAATAAACGTGCCAGGCACAAATCAACCTACGTGGATGAAATGTAGTTACTTAAGACCTTACAACAACTTTCATTATTCACCTTCTTGAGTCTTCAAGCTTCCCTAGCAGCCAGTGTGTTTGCAACATCAATGACAAATCGGTATCTTACATCATTCTTAGCAAGACGCTCCATTGCTGTGTTCACGTAATCCATTGAGATAACTTCAACCTCCGCCGTTATGTTGTGTTTTGCTGCAAAATCAATCATTTCCTGGGTCTCCTTCATGCCTCCGATTCCACTATCGGCCAGACTTTCTTCCTAGATTCACATTTTGATAACCATTTTAGATTCTAGACCGAAATAATGTACGAGATAATATACAAGTCAAATTATCCAGGAGTTTTATACTTACCCATGATTAAAGGAAACACATGGAGGTTTAGTGGCTTTACTGGTACACCCACCAGAATAAGCTTCCCATGGGGCTTCAAAAGACCAAGTAAGGGCACAATGGGATGCGCAGCTGAGACTCTGCCGATGATGCCATCCAATGTGCCTCTGGCAGCCTGCAATTGAAACTCATCATATACTGATGAACTAATCTCGCTTAGTCCTCTAGTTACTTGAAAAAAAAAATATAAGGGGACTAATTTAATGAGAGCAAAACGAGCAAACATATCATCATAAATAAATTGGCTAGAAATTAACCTTCATTTGCTCCTGGTCGCAGCTAACCACGAATGAATCAGCCCCGAGTTTCTTCAGAGCTTCATCTTTCTTGCCAGGGGAGGTACTAATCACAGACACTTTTGACCCGAACGCCTTAGCGAATTTCACACCGGTGTGACCAAGCCCGCCAAGGCCTACAATGCCAACATGCTTACCAGGCTCAGATAAGCCAAAATATTTCAGGGGACTATACACTGTGATCCCAGCACATGGTAGAGGAGCACCAGCATCAAGTGGCAGGTTCTCGGGGAAACGAACGATGTAGCGCTCATTGGCGACCATTGTGTCTGAGTAACCTCCATATGTGACGGTTCCGTGTGGTTTTCAAGGTTGCTGTTACAGCTCTCGCAGGCAGACAAGCACCAACCATGCAGCCTACACCCACTTGTCTCCTATTTTCACTTTATTCACCTTGCTTCCCACTTCTGTCACTTCCCCCACAGTCTCATGCCTGAAAATTAGCAAATTAAAATCCAAGTTTGTTTTTTCGTTACTTCTTTTGGATATATATATATATATATATATATATATATTGTAGGCATTTTAATTCAAAAATATTAGCCATTGTCCACATGCTATATATGCATGTTAGACCACTCGAGAAGAGTTTTTGTAGAGAAAAAAGTTGCGATGATTTTTTTTTTTTTTAAATAGTACTACCATACATTGACTTTTCCTCCTTTTGTTTTTTTTAAGAAAGTAGTATTCGGGACGGAATCAAAATTGAAAATAGGGGAGCCACAAGAATAAATTTGTACCACAAAGCATAAAATTGTGCCAGGTATATAATAGACTTACAGAAAAGCCGGGGGAGGGGGCCTGCGGGCCCTTACTATGATTCGCCTATGGTGGTATTTATGTTTACTTACGAGAGGTATTAATTAAGTTTAAATATTGTAAATGAGTTGGATACTAATTTTATTTTCTGATCCTTAAGTGTAAATATATTGTTATATATAAGAAAAGAAAAAAAAATTATTTAGTAGTTTGACATAAATACTCTTAATAATTTAATTGTTATTTAGTAATATAAGGTCATAATGAAAAAAATATAAATGGTTCATAAAAGGTTGCCTATACCAAATGAGCTATCGACGTACGTGGAGAAGTTTTTCTCTTTGCCCAGAACATGAACTAGTATACTACATGTAATAATACAAGTACAAAAAATATCCTTTTAAATGTTCTTCGATGTGTATTGTAATGTTTGATGCACTAGTTCATATTCAAACTATACTGAAAATATCTAGTGTACGTGTGAATACCGTGTTAATAAGGAATCTATACTACTATATAAAGCCAGCTGCCCCATTTGGGGCCACAGGCTTCACCAAAAATAATTGGACAAAATTGCCCTCCAAACAAAACAGTTTAAAAAGCATCCCAAAATAATGCAGGGATATTTTCTTCATATAAATAGTATCTTTTTTATAATTATTTTTTTTGTGCTATTTTTTTTAATTAGTATCTCACATTATGCTAGCAATAATATGATTCAATCAATTATTTATCAAATATTATTTTCCCTATTTTTAAACATGTTTAAAACATCTTAAGAGGTGTAGTGTCGGTTATAAAAAAGGTGTTCCGCACGTGCATAATAGTGTGATTCAATTAGTTAACTAATAATTATTTTTTTTTAACAAATGATATTATCCACTAAGGAAAAGAGAGTGAACTTAACCTCACAATAGACTAATAATAATGTGATTCAAAAAATGTGTAATCACGCGTAGAACGCTGTGATTCAACAAAAGTTAGTGAAATATAAAGTGTTTTTAGTTCCTCAAGGCCAACTTTTAACCAGTAGTTGCCAATGCATTACATGTAAAACGCATTTATAGCATTGTTCTAAAAATCCCCGCCTAGGCGTTACGCGATTGGCTACCATTCCGATTAATGTCTAGACATTTGAAAATTAAGAAATGGCGCCTAGACCTGCTAAGGTGCTTCTAGCCCTCCCAGACCTGCCTAGACATTTGCCTAGGTTGCAATTCACTTAGATAGAAAATAGATAACTTTCCTTTTGCATTTTATTATTTCCCAAAAATTGTAAAAGACTTATTGAACACTTAAATAAACACACATTATATGTTTTCTCCTCATATTTTCGTTGTGTTCCAATACTTCATAATATATATATATATATATATATATATCATTCTATTTTCTAGTTTATGATGAAATTATATATGTTTTAAGTATAAAATAACACTTATTTACGCGAAATACAATAAATTTATTTAAATCTGTCTAATCCGTCTAGGCGCCCGCCTAGATGCCCACCTAGATGCTAGGTTCCAACACACCACCTGACAAGCGCTCAACATCTTTTAGAACCAAGATTTACAGAGAGTCTCCAAAGCCTCCATATAATGCCAATGAATTACATGCAAAACGCATTTATATGGAGACAAACACTGAAAAGCAATTCACAGTACAATTATTCTCCAAAGCCTCCATATAATGCCAATGAATTGCATGCAAAACGCATTTATATGGAGACAAACACTGAAAAGCAATTCACAGTACAATTATTGTACGGAGACTTTGGACATTGCATTTACATCGTTCATCTAAACCACATATTTGCTTGCTCTCTTATGAATACGTTTCTGTTGTAATTGGGGTGCGTGTTTATTACGGAGTCATGGACGGTTGGACTCACCTGTGTCTTTGAAAACTAGGTTTGTTGAACTGATGGTAATCATCTAAGTTCAATGAATGACAGGAGAAAAAAAAAAAATCCAAATCCAAGTCCAATGTAATTAATAAGATATAAATTGACATTTTCTTATCAAATATGTTATTTTTATCATATTTTGTATTATTTTTTTAATAAGAATAATGATAAGGAGATTAAATTTTTAAACTAAATTTTATAAACCAAATGATGTGTTGGCAATAAGAAATAAACACATTAATCAATACTTAAGTAATAATTTGTCACCAAATGATGTGGTTGTTAATAATTGAATTATTACTTATATGTTGATTAACATGCTTAGTTTTTATTATTAACACATCATTTGATTTGCACATTTGATTTAAAATTTTGGTCTCTATAATATTACCCTTCTAATGAAGATGAGAATCACATATGTTGATGAGCCTTACATATCATCAAATAAGTGAATTACACTTTATTCAAATAGATTTTCAAAATAGCACCCAAGATCCATATTATATTGACATTTTCAACCTGTAATTTAAATACAATTCAAACCTTATATGTTAACATAAGTTTTTCTATTGTTGAAGACAATTCATCCGATTCAAATTTGATTATTTTCGATACAAATAACAAATAGGTAATCCACATAATAAACGAATCAAATATGGATTAAGCCAATTCGATCCCTTTGCGGATCACTTGCGATTATCATTATAAAACAATCTTTATAGTCTATAACTTATAGATTAAACTAATTGTTTATTTGTGTTAAGTTTACTGGAGTAGAAGAAGATAATTGTGTTAAGGTGATAGGAGCATATTTATGTGACTTTATTAGCTTGTTTCTTCGTATTTAGTGAGTTAGTTTCTATTTATTATAGTGATTTAAGCTATTTTCGTGTGTTTGTAGGTCAAATTGGCAAAGGTGACAAGAAATGACAATTTGGAGCAGTTTTGGGCTTGGATTAGATAGCATGCGTATGGAGCAAGGTGGATGGACGTTTTTGAAGTTCAAATAAGGCTAGGAATGTGCTGAAGAGATGAAGAAACTAATTCAAGACATAGAAGATAAGGAATCAGTTAAAAGGAAGGAACATTATCCAAAATCTTATCAAAACCTTAACTAAACTTACCTTATCTTATCTTATCCTATCCTAATCTTATCCTACCTTAATTCCAGCTGTAAGGGGGAATCAATTTCATATTAAATCAACTAAATATTTGGTTCTAGAAGCCCTATACTCTACCCTAGATTTGTGCTGCACAAGCTAACCCTTTTCCCCTAGGAATCTGCCGCAGCACCCTAGTCCTTTTCCTTCTTGGTTTGTGCCGTGTAATCCTTCTCCTTTACAACCTTTGTCATGCCCCCTAGCCCTATAAATACACCACACATCTACCACATAAAGAGGAGCCTTAGAGAGAAATTCAAAGAAATTAAACACTTTGTGCCACAGCTTTGTAAGCAATGAGAGCTTGGAGCCATGCCTACCATCCAAAGCCTTTGGGATTGCTAGAGCGTTTCTAGGTGTATTCCATCCTTAGTTTTAGTCCAATGTTTGTTTTAATTTGGTTTTCAATTATGATGAACATGTGGAACTAATTTCATTTTAGTTAGAGGTGAATTCAAAGCCATGAACATATGTGTGATATGAATTGATTACATCCAGTTTTTGTTTCATAAATCGTGAATGCAATTTACTCATCTGTTTGATTGATAACTTATTCTTGTATGTTGATTAAGGAGGCCTACTTAGTTTGCATGCATGAATTTGATGCTAAAATATAAGGGAATTTCACCTAAAAGTTATGAATTTATATTTATAAGTAGTGGAGGTTGCTAGTCACGATCGCGTTAAGTAAATTCCTGGCAGGAGTATCATGCAATTCATAGTTACGAATGTCATGTCAATGCTTATGATTTTCATAGAACTTAATGATCTTTGATATGTATCTCTATCATGCAGTTCATATAGGGAATTTGATAAAAATAATTTGATTGCTTCGTTGAGTCCAATTCAATGAATATAGGAAAATTTGATGGTTAATTTGTGCAGTTCACGGTTAACTTGGGATATTGTCATTCGTGGTTTATAGGAATAATAACTGGAAATTGATTTGTATGCATATGTGTCATGTGTGAAGAAGGACCCTTTAGCTAGCCTTTCACCCCTTAAGTCACCTTAATTTCGTGCAACCTTTACTTAGTTCTGCAACTTATTAGTTTTAAGTCAATTTTCGTCCAAACAAACACCCCCTTTAGTATTTTGTGTCAATTTAGTTAGATTTTCACCCAAATCACCCCTTAGTGCTTGTTTTGAGTTATTTGAGTCAATTTAGCTTAGTTTTATGTTTTTGAGTCTAATTAGTGTAGATTAGAATCCCTCCTAATCCCCGGCTTAGAACGATCCCTACTTACTTATACTACAATTGTCTAAAAGAGGGTTTAATTTGTGTGTTAGTTTCTAGCACATCAAAAATTTGGCGCCGTTACCGGGGATTAACAAAATTGCTAATCTTCCCCTTTGTTTTTGTTTTCGTTTTTCTTGTGTTTCTGATTTAGTTTAGTTTTGTTTTCTTTGTTTTAGGTATTAGTTTATGACTCGAAGTTCTCAACCTGTTCGTGCACATATATTGGAGTTTGACGACGATTTTGAACGAACTTTGAGAAGGAAGAGGAAGCAACCAAAACTCAATCCACCTAGTTCTAGCTCTGAATCCAAGTTTGAAGAAGAAGAGGAAGAGGAACAAGACATGGCTGTGGATAATCGAACAATCAAGGAACTTTCAGCCTTGGGATTGGACAATGTCGTCCCTTTTTGTATTCAATACCTTAGGGCAACTCAAGGCAAGACCGATGAGTTTGAATTGAAGTCTAGTTTGCTGCATCACATTCCCAAATATCATGGGCTGTCCATGGAAGATCTGAACAACCATCTTAAGGAATTTGAAGTGGTGTGCTCAAGCATGACACCAATCAACGTGGATGGGAATATTTTGAAGATGAAAGTCTTTCCATTCTCTCTTATGGACAAGGCTAAGGATTGACTCTATGAACTAGCACCTGGAACCGTTACTTCTTGGGAAAGCATGAAGAAAGCATTCTTAGAGAAATTCTTTCCAACTTCAAGAGTCATTCTTTTGAGGAAGAAAATTAGTGGAATCCAACAAGGCCCGGGAGAATCCTTTCTAGCGTACTATGAGCGTTTTAAGACGTTAGTTACATCCTGCCCACGACATCAAATGAAGGAAGAGCTTTTAATTCAATATTTCTATGAAGGACTATTTCTACTTGAGAGACAAATGCTTGATGCTTCAGCAGGAGGTGCCTTAGTTGACAAAACACCAGTTGCAGCGAATATCTTAATAGCAAACTGAGCCTTGAATGCACAACAATATGAAGGAGTTGGACAGAGAGACCCCCCACAGCAACACCAAGTTAATGAGGTAAGTTCAATGGTCGAAATTCAATCTCAATTGGATAATGTCATTGTTCTTGTGTCACAGGTTGTCGAAGGATCCAAAATGCAAGGAACAAGTACTTGTAGCGTATGCCCTATGCAAGGACACCCCACTGATCAATGTCCTCAATTAATAGAGAATATAGGATGGGAAAGTGCCAATGCTGTGGGTTATCAAGGCCAAAATCAACCAAGGTATGACGCGTTTTCCAACACCTATAACCCGGGTTGAAAAGAGCATCCAAATATGAAGTAGAGTAAACCTCAACAAACTCATCAACAAGGCGGATATAGACAGCCACCTCTGGACTCTATTAAAGACCATTCGCACCACCACAACTCCCACCAAAATCTGCCCAACCAAATTCAGGTTCGTCATTAGATAATGATAAAATTCTTCAAGTACTAACTTATTTGACTCAGGGTTTACAAAATCAAGCCAAAGAGATGGGCGAAGTGAAGAAGCAAATTGGGCAAATGGTAGAATTCATGGGACAGTTTAGAGAACAAGGCAAACTGCCTAGTTTAACCATTGTCAATCCAAAGAGAGGTTTTGAAATGCCAACACCATCACGTTAAGAAGTGGCAAGGAGATTGGAACAAGTTAAAAAAACATCAAAACCAACCCAAGAAGAGGATGAAAAGTTGCTGCAACAAGAAGAAAAAGCCACGGCAAGGGAAGAACACCGGCCCCTTGCCGCAACCCCCTAAGCACCCTATGTCGTCCAACTTAACTAAGGTAGGTCCAAATTCAATTCCTTCTAACATTATTCCACCAAATATGCCTTTCCCTGGCAGGTTTATGCAATCTAGGAATGGAAGAGAATGAAAAAGACATTCTAGAGACCTTCAAGAAGGTGCAAGTCAATATCCGGCTCCTTGATGCGATAAACCAAATTCCAAAGTATGCTAAGTTTTTGAAGAAGCTTTGTACAACAAAGAAACGAATTCGAGAGAAAGAAGTGGTACATGTAAGTTAAAATGTCTCTGCAATGTTGCAAAGGAAGCTGCCACCTAAATTCAAAGATCCTGGTAGTTTCACTATCCCTTGTGTAATTGGTAATACAAGGTTTGAATATGCTATGCTAGATTTAGGTTCTTCCATTAATGTCATGCCATATTCTGTTTATGCATCTATGAATCTAGGAGAGCTTAAAAATGATGGAGTTATTATCCAATTAGCCGATCGTTCTAATGCATATCCGAAAGGAGTTTTGGAAGATGTTTTGATGCAGGTTAACCATTTGATCTTTCCAGCCAATTTCTATGTGCTTGAGATGGAAGATTCAGCCCATTCTCCACCATTGCCAATCTTAATTGGACGACTTTTCTTGAAAACAGCCCAAATCAAGATTGATGTGGCCAAGGGAGCGTTAACGATGGAGTTTGGTGGCGATATGATTAAATTCAATGTTTCTAAATCTGTTAAGAATCCTAATGATGTTCGTTCTTATTTTGCCATAAATGTGATTAAAAATTTAGGGCAAGAACGTTCAGCAGCACCAATCAAGAAGGATGTATCTAGAACCACCATCAAAGAGGGAATTGGAGTGGAGCACAAAGAACACGCCTCTGCCCTCAAAATACCCAATCTGGCCGAAAGCATCCGTAGTGAATTTGTTGACAGTGCTGCTACTTTTGAGCCTTCGTCACAGTATATTGGTGAGCCACCTATTCCAATTCCAATTCCCATTTCAATTAATAGGTTGTTACCTTCTTTGGTGCAAGCACCCAATCGAATCCAAGGTGGTGTGATAGTTTACGTTGACTTTTGGAAACGTAACGCCAAAATCAAGAAGGATCACTATCCGATGCCGTTCATAGATCCAATGCATGAGTATTTTGAGGAGCATGTCGTGGAGAGTGTACCCCTCCATGCCGTGGACCCTAGTGGAGCTTAAAATAAGGTATCATCCAGCTGGAAGACGTTAAAGCAAACGCTTCTTCGGAGGCAACCCATGCGTTTAAATAAAGAAGACCTAGGAATATCCGGCTCCAAAACTAGATTTGTGTTCCTTAACCTTACTCTTTATTGCTTTTACTTTGCCATAATTGTCATGTTTGTTAGTTGTGTTGTTTGATTGCTTGCGTGTGAGTCTATGTTTGAAACATTGAGGACAATGTTTGGTTTAAGTGCGGGGGGTTAAACAAAATGCTTTTCATGACTTATTTTCGAAATTTATCACCTATCACTTCTAAAGTTGTTACTCACTGTTTTGAAGTGTTTTTATTGTGTTTTGAAGTGTTTTAATGTGTCCTATAACCAAAAATCCGAAAATTTTGATAAAAAAAAAAAATTGAAAAAGCTTGAAAAAATACCAAAAATAGTCGTTTTTGTTGATTGTTTGTGTCTTAGGGTACCTTCCAACATAATGATGAGGATTTGGTTTTTAATTGCATGACTGTTAAAGAAAGTTACAAACATGGGTGGATGTTTGATATGCTCTTTGGTTAATACTTAGTTGTAGTTGTCATTTACGAATTCACATGTAATCACAAAGAAAAAAGAAAAAAAATCCAATTTTTGTAACATGCTTGAAGGAAAAAACTCAAACTAATGCTACAACCCTGAGAGACTTGAGCCTATTCTCTGTTTAGAGAGTTATTAATCTATGATGTTTTTGTTTTCTAAAGTCGTGGCATGATCTCATTATTTCTTTGCTTGGTTGCTACTTAGAATGGGTTTTCATCATTTTAGTTCCAAATACTAGAACTCATGCCCATTTTAATCAAAACATAAAATTGGTTGCATGACGAATAACAAGATGAAGTTGTTTAGTTAAAGCAGAGCCAAAAAGCCTTACCCTTTGCATATGTATTGTAGGTTTAACCCTTTTGAGCCTTATTTAGCCTATTTTCTTTGTTAGCCTGCATTATCCTTACCTAGCCTAGTATAGGACTATTCATACCCTTGTTCTTAAAGAATACTGGAGCATGACTTGTTGGGAATTCTTTTTGATTTACAATATGTAGAAAAACAAGTGTGGGGGAAGAATTTGTCTTTGTGAATTGGTGAAGGAGTACGCTTTGTGTTTCAAAAGAAGGAAAAAAAAAACAAAAAGAAAAAAAAAACGCGGAAAAAGAAAGAGAAAAGAAAAAGTTGTGCAGAAAAAGAAAAAAAATGGTTGAAAAGAAGTAAGATGGAGTTCAAAAGTGTTGGTTGTTGAATAAGGGTCCAAAAAAGTTGAATCTGGCCCTAATTGTTGTGTGAAACTCCCATGGGTGTTTAAAGTTGATTTCTACAATCAAAAGTTGAATTTTAAGTGTTGATTTCATTTTGTTGTTTACTATCACTTTAAGAACCTTTGTTTCTCCTTAACCTGTCTTTGCTAGCCAACACCTTAGCCCCATTACAGGCCTTAGACTTCTATCTTGATTGTTACGTGTTTCAATATATGGAGTTTGAAATTGGTACGAGCATATGGAATCCCTGGTTCTCACTTCTGAGTAGTGGCATTTCGTTCATGAGATCAAATACATGTTGTATTAATAATTCCAGAAAGTGCCTTCTTTGTTATAATATATGTGAGTGGTAGTCTACATGTTTACATCAATCGTCTCACATATACTTAGTATAGGAAGTGTAGTCAGAAAATCTGAGTGAAAATAGAGAGTATATCCGGTGAGGAATTGAGGGATTCTCTAAGGCATGCTACTACATTCAAAATGTTGTTGTAATTAATTAAATGCGAGCTAGAGAGTGGTGACTGCGGTTAAGTGTATACTCAAGAGTAAGGATGGCTAAAATCTATGTGAGTAGTGATTTTTAACGTGTCATGTTTCATTGGAAATCTCTAAGGCAATTGTTGGAAGGTTTAGGTTTTATTTTGTTTTCTTCATTTTGCTCGGGGACTAGCAAAAGCTAAGTGTGGGGGATAAGGTTAATAGGAAAACTAACGAAAAAATACTTGAAAACTTTGAGTTTAATCAAAAGGACAAAAATGTGTTGTAAGTGAATAGTACTAGGAGTGACTTTTTAGAGTAAAAATGATGTTTTTCGTTAAAGTAAACAATACCGAGAGTGTTTCGTTAAAACTCCTTAAGTTAATTTATTTTTATTTGTTTTCCTCTTATTTGTATTTTTATGCTCCCTCTCCTAAATCGTATGTTTTAGCAAAGAAAAATAAAAGATATAAGGGCATCGGCATATATAGAACTCAAATGACAGATCAGGTGAAGAATATAATGGAAATAAAAGAATATATATTAACAAGATGGATTAGATTGAAGGTTACACACACACACACACGTACGTACCCAGGAACCATAGGGTGCATAGAGATCCCCCATTCGTTCTTGATGTTATGAAGATCATTGTGGCATATCCCACAATACAACACCTTAAACCTCACGTCCTCATCACCTGTTGGTACACACATATCATATCACACGCAAAGGTTTTCAGAGCAAGAATTAGAGGGAAAAATTAAGGGAAAAAAAAAAAATATATATATATATATATATTTAAAATCTGAAAAACAAGTGATTGAATATATTTATAATTACCTTCTTGAGAAACTAAAGGGAGAGAGGTGGCCAGATGCGTCTCTGGCAGCCCAGCCAAATGCCTTCACAGGATGTTCTTGTTCTGGAGCCTTTTTCCATTTTTGAAGCACTAGGTGCGAGTGTGGAGAAAGTGTAGTCTTTCAAGTATGCGTGTTGAGTGCTCCACAACAGGTTAGAATGCTTAAGGCTTCAGTATAAATATAGAAAAGTAGGGGGCGGGGCCAGTACTCAAACCGAAACCTCTGGTAGGTTGATTCCATATACAATCAAATAATACAGTTCAACATTACGTATGAGGAAATTTTTTTATCATTACTATTAAGTGATGGTAATGTTCACCATCATCATTAGATGAATTTAAAATTTGAGATTTGTCTAGTGGATGACACAAATTTTAAATTTTAAACTCTTTCAATAATAATAATTAAGGTGATAAGTATTACCATCACTTAAAAACGGTCAGGAAAACATTTCACATGATGCATGAATCCCAATTGATTATTTTTTTGTACTATTATATGTATTGTATATTGAATATATTTGTCAATATATATATATATATATATATATGTTCATGCATACGCATTTGATATTTCCTGTGTTGAATTTTGTGAGAAAGAAATCGAAAGAAAGTAGAAGCATGAATTTTTTTTTTTTTTTCATTTTGAAAACCCTAAAATCGAAAAAAAAAAACAAAAAGAAAATGGAAAATCGATGTCGTACTGCGCCTGGCTGACTTCCAACCAAATCGCAATCCTCCAAGCCTGCAGCTTGGCATGCGCCCCACAACGACATCGTTTCGACATCTGGACCACAGCAGCCCTCTAGGCTTGCTGTTGCACGCGAGAACTTCGCTTGTCCCTGGGTTTTCTTTCTGCTGGGCATGCAACCCTGCAACTTGCTAGGCTTTAGAAGTACTTTGGGGATCATTAATCCCACATCAGCCACAATCTTAAGTAGAAGTACTTTTATAGTTAAATAAGATTTGGGCCTAACCCATGAACCTTGGGCTTCGGCTTGTGTACTTATTAATTTCTCAAAGATGGCCTTTCGGCCTGCATTTGATTGACTCTAACAATGTTTACATCGTGCTTTAAAAGTGGGGAGACTGCCACCTCTTAGAAAAGCATAAGAGGCCATGGCGTGAGCAGTCATATTACATGATCTTAGTGTAAAAAGAAAACTAATAGTGCCCACAACGGTAGTTAAAGTCTGGATATTATGAACAACCACCCTTTTACCTTAAATAGTCTCAATAAGCTTTGACACGTCTGATTCCACAATTACCTTCTTCCTCCCCTATTTGAGCAAAGAATGTGGAGCCTTCTAACAAGCAATCTTCAATCCACGTTAAGAAGTACAACAACACTATCTCCGCTTATCAACAATGAGGAGCCGGTGGTACCTACACAAGAAAATTCTTGTCGGAAGATGTTCTCTGAAGTTCACTAGGTTATTAGGGTTCCTATATACTTAGGGTTTGGTCAACTATCGCCTTCGTATCCAGCACGCTATGGGATGATCATTGCTTGATTTATGGGCTGCCTTTATCTTGTCAACTTTCTTGTGATTAGTGATTTCAGATTACTTGTAGATTACAATTACTAATTAGTCAACTTCTTGATTCAAGGAGCCGTCTCTTTATGTTTTAGTTTAAGCCTAACAGCTAGGGGCATGATTTAAGGGATTAGTCATCGTGTATGATGACCTCTCTTGGTTTATTTACCTTGTACATCCTATAATGTTTGAATGAAATACAACAATACAATTTGGAAATAAACATCGTATCAAGGCAAGTAGAATAACATGTCTCTACAATACTGGTGTTTGTTCATTGTTTCTTCTTCAACAATGGCTGAAGATAACCCATTTGGGTTTGAGGCTGAAAGTTGTCATGTTTGGTCTCCCTTCAATCAATCAGAAGTAGATGTAAACCCAAACCAAAGGTTGAGTTCAGTTTTGTTTAAATGAATTCAATTATTTGTCACTATTAGAAAATATCATTTTGCCGACAAATTATAAGCTAACAAAGTAAAATTTTGTCGCCACAAAACACCTTCCTGACGAAAATTTTAATTTGTAAGCTCATAGTCGTTGAATTTGTGCTGACAAAATTTTCGTCGGCAAAAAATATTTATATCGACAAATAAAATGACACTCAGGAAAGCATGTAAGTTTGTCGTCTCTGATAATCAAAAGATGGGCGCGGACTAATTTATTCTCGCGCCTTTTGTTTTTTGGTCTTTTTGATTCACCTGCTTCTTCTTTTTTAGCAAAAAAAATTCTACCTTTAAAAATCATTGTATTTTCATTGAACCCTAATCTTAACTGTCGATAGCCCACCCCTCCGCTTCTCTTCTCTTTGAAATCGTAACTCTCTGCTCTTCAATCCTGCTCCATCTGCTCGTCGTCACTCCGTATGCTCAACATCGCCGTTGCTCTATGTGCTCGACATCGCCGTTGATTCGTCTGCTCGCATCACCGTCGAAGTGCCCGACCATTCTAGCTCCGAAATTTCTAATGTAGGGTGCTTCTTTGCATTTCGTTCTCTAAAACTTTGGGTAAGTTCTCAATCTCTATCCACCCTATTCTTTCCCAGTAGCTTTTTGTTAGTTTTAATTTTGTGGTGCTTTTCTTAGATTTGTTTTACCACTGTAATTTTGAGGGATTTTAGGTAATGAATTTGGTTGAGAATCTAAGTTAGGTTTGTAATTTCTTTCTAGGCTGCCCGGGTTTGAGGATGATTAATCCACTTTTTGAATTTTAATTACTTTTAACTTTTATTTCTAAGAAACTGCAATCAAAATGCAGTTATGGTTTTATAGTCATAATCGATTGTGAGTCTTTGCACCACATCAATCAATTCCTATGTTTAATCAATTGAAATTAGGGTCATGTTACTAATGAAATTGTTGGGTTAAGGTTATATGATATTTGCTTCTAGGATTTGTGTTTTTATTTTTCAAACTTTTTCATTTTTTGTCTGTTATTAATTCCTAAACGAGAACACCAATTTGAGAATGCTTCTGTGGCATTAAGTTATATTCTATCTTCATTTTATATAGTTTGCTTCTAATTTATGTGTGTTATTTAGATTATTGATCAAATCAATTGTGTAGGAGGCTAGGAGCTTAAATAAGTGAGTTAAAAAAATCTAAATTGTCCCTCTATTATGCAGAACACTATGAGCAAGGAGTTTTCTGCATGTAGGTGAGATTGTGATGATAATTTATTTTTATATTTTGTTTTTCTCTGCCTTATGCTTATCCTAAATACATTGATGACATCCTTTGCATTTTCTTGCATGTCGGAGTAGTTTGATTATGTCTAATGCTAGACACGAGCAAGAAGCATACTGGAACAATGAGCATAGATTGGTCTGCACCGTTGAGATTTGCACCGCCTCTAAGGGTGACCGCTATGAAAAATCGATCATTTTCCCATTACTCTCCCTGGTTTTTATTGCTTTTAAAGTTCCAATATTTAATCAAATTAATTTTCTAGTGGTAGATATTTCTACAACTGGGCTGTATATTTCATGAAAAATTTGATATGTGGTCCAATTCTTCTGTTGCAATCCTTTATTGTTCCCGGGTATATCTTTCTCGTTGTTTGACAACCACCAGTCATCTGGTACATGATTCATTTTCTAGTCAATAAATGTTTAGTAACTATTTAACTTTCTTTCGTCATTAACTGGTTAGACTATAATCCTAGCCTCTATATAAATGTTTAGTAACAGCACACATTCAGTTTGGTGATTTGGATTCAGTTTTCACTGGTGTTTCTCTGGCATTATTTAATCTTCTTTAAAAATAGTACTTGTACAAAAAGAGCTTAGGAGGCAAACAATGCCTTCTCTATGCGAAGAAGCGCAAGATCAAAGAAGCTCTAGAAGGTTCGTTATCTCTCTAGTCTATAACGTATATATGATCAATTATATATGAAACTTCCTTTTTTTTCTTTTGTTTATAGCACATCTGTGACATCCCACATTACCTAGAGGAGTGATCCTTATATGTATATTCTCATCTCTACCTAGCACGAGGCATTTTGGGAGCTCACTGGCTTCGGGTTCGATAGGAACTCCGAAGTTAAGCGAGTAGCACGCGAGAGCACTCCCATGATGGGTGACCCACTGGGAAGTTCTCGTGTGAGTTCCCAGAAACAAAACCGTGTGGGTGTGCTAGGGGCCCAAAGCGGACAATATCGTGCTACGGTGGAGTCGGGCCCAAGAAGTGGTCTCGCCTGGGTCGGGATATAACAATTTGGTATCAAAGCCTATCCCTAGTCGTGGTGTGCCAACGAGGACGTTGGGCCCATAAAGGGGGTGGATTGTGACATCCCACATCACCCAGGGGAGTGATCCTTATATGTATATTCTCATCTCTACCTAGCACGATGCCTTCTGGGAACTTACACCAGAATTTCCCAGTAGGCCACCCATCATGGGAGTGCTTTCGAGCGCTACTCGCTTAACTTCGGAGTTCCCATGGAACCCGAAGCCAATGAGCTCTCAAAAGGTCTCGTGCTAGGTAGAGATGAGAAATGCATATAAGGATCACTCCCCTGGGCGATGTGGGATGTCAGAATCCACCCCCCTTAGGGGGCCCGACGTCCTCGTTGGCACACCACAACCAGGGATAGGCTCTGATACGAAATTGTCACATCCCAGCCCTGGCGGGACCACTTCCCTTGCCCGACTCCACCGTAGCACGATATTGTCCGCTTTAGGCCCCCAGCACAGCCTTACGGTTTTGTTTCTAGGAACTCACACGATAACTTTTCAGTGGGTCACCCATCATGGGAGTGCTCTCGCGTGCTACTCGCTTAACTTTGGAGTTCCCATGGAACCCGAAACCAGTGAGCTCCCAAAAGGCCTCGTGCTAGGTAGAGATGGGAATATACATATAAGGATCACTCCCCTGGGCGATGTGGGATGTCACAGTATCACTATCTTAAAGTTCTTGTTTAATCGCGTAGTAATTTGAACATGTAATTGTTTAGATTTTCATTTAGTTAGGCTGTTGATTCTTCATGGCTTTCATTTCTGAATCTCAATCCCAAGGTCGCATTAACAATACGTATGCAAACGCATCTCAAAGAGACCCGAAAATTTTGATGACTTCACTAATACAATTTGCAAAGGTTGGCCTAGCCTTTTTCTTTACTTATCACTTTATTCAAATCAGTTCTGCTGCACTCTTGTGTTCATTTTGGTGGTATCATGCTATGTTGGTTATTGATTGTCGTTTATGTTGCACGTGAGTCCATTTTGGTGATATTATACAAGGCGGATGTTGATTATTGATTGTCGTTGAATCACACTTGATCAAGAACTAAAACTCTTTTTTCTCAATGTGCTACAAATGAATTATGGTGGCCAGGTTGGTGCACTTTTTCATTGAGCCTTCTAACTATTAATGATCATTGACTGTGTTAAAACCTGTCTTTTTCCATCTAACTAGAGACACTAGAAGATAGACAGAGTGGTACTCTGAATTGATGTTGCTTGATCACTTCTTATGAATTAACATGCATTACCATACCGTTGAGTTGTGGGAAGATAGTTTGTGTATTTAATTTATTTAGTATTTGGAGTGAATTTTAATGTTTTTAAATTGGTCATCATTTTTTGTTTACAATTATGTCTAGATTGACCTCTTCACTTGAGAACATGATGACATCAAGAATGTGCCTACCATGAATGCTCTGATGCTTTGGTCCTTTTCCATAGTTGAGCATCTACTGATTTCTATTTTTTTTTTTTTAATCCTGCAAGTTATTTCTAAAATTATTGAAACATCATGGTGTATCAGATGGTTTGATTATAAGCCACCTCCCTTTTGGTCCAACAACTTATTTGAACTGCTCAATTTTGCACGTAGTGTAATAATTTTCACATATTTTGGTAGTAAGACTAATGTAGGACGACATAGAAAGGATTTAGATTCATTGTTAAAATTGATTGTGAGTCTATGGCTAATTGTATTGTCAACTTGTACCTATTTGGTTATGTTTGTGTTTTGTAACATTTATTTTGTAGGTGCAGGATGTTTTGTGATGCTACATGGCAGCCAATTTTGAGGAATGACAGTAGAATAATTTTATTGTGTAACATATGCTTTCGTATAAGCACTCTAGATGTACATTAAAAATTTATCAATGAATAAAGTATTATTTGTTAACAAATTTGTGTATCGTATTTTGATATGTTTATGTAGTTGTTGAGCATTAAAGTAATTATTATTTATTTTTTATAAATTAAATGTCCTTCCCAACGAAACCAGTTTTGTCGAGACAGAGAAGACTATGTCGATGAAATATCCATGGTGACAAACATATTTTGTTGGCTGAAAAGTACTATTTGTCAACTAAAATGCCCTTTATCGATGAAAATATTTGTCAAGACACATGGAAATGCTGACAAAAAAGAGTTTGTCGGTAAAATTTGAACCTTAGCTAACAAAATACCAAAATTTGTCTGGAAACTCTTAGACAACATGTTTTGTGAGACAAAATGGCCGACAAATGTTTTCGTCAGGAAAGACTCTTTGCCGAGAAATTTTGACTTTTGCTGACAAACTAGTTTTGTAGGTAAAGTCAAAATTTGTAGTGGTGTGTCTTGGTCAAGGGCTATTTCCCTGGCCCTAGGTGGAAGATCAAAGCTGAGATTCATCAATGGAAGCATTTAAGTCCCTGAAGTTACATTTCCAGCATATGAAGCATGGGTTTGCAAGGATCAAATTGTCATGTCTTGGCTTCTTAATTCCATGGAACAAAAGTTGGTTGAGATATTCAGCTATTCAAGGCTATAGTCGAAGAGATGTATGGAGATCAAAACAATGCTGCTCGAGTGTTTCAATTGAAGAGAGACATTACAAACTTGCAGCAAAATGGGAAGCCATTCTCCAACTACTTGGAAGCACGAAAGGTATGTGGAATGAACTTGAAGTATATCGTTCCATACCACTGAAGTTGCAGTGTTGTTGAAAAAAGTTGAAGAAGACAAAATCTTCCAACTTTTGTTCAGCTTGGGCTCTGAATATGAAGACCTTTGTAGTCACATACTCATAAACTCATAACAGCCCTCATTTGCAAGTGTAAGAACACTCACTTGAAATGTCATCACTATAATGCAACATGACATGTCAAGGGTCGTTGTTGGATCCTCCATCCAGAATTGAAGCCAGAGTTCATGAAGTTTAATAAAGGAGTTTACAAGAAGCCACAACACATTGTGTAAAAAGTCAACCATGCTGTTTCTTTCTTTCTTGAAGTGACTGACTCACTGATGCAGTTGTCCTTAAATCCAACAGCCCTCATCAACGAGTTTACTGCGTACATCTAAAGTAAGAAAACGAGTTTACTGCATGCATCTAAAGTAAGAAGAATAATGATGAAGCTTCCACTTCAAGTGAAGGAAATTCAATAACATTGGTAGGGAAGTTCGCTAGATTCTTGGTTGACCATGAAGATATCTAAACTGCTCTAAAATTTGAACAAAATGCATGACTTATAGGTCATTGATTCCGGTGTCACATAGCATATGACAAACCAAATTTCTAAACTCTATACGTTTGAAATTTTTTCCAAACATTTACATGTGTTTGTTGCATATGGAAAAGGTGTCAAAATATTAGGGAAAGAAAAGATCAATCTAATCTCAAATAGTATCGAGTCAAGTGCTTTATATATACCCTCGTTTTGCAACTACCCAAATGTTTCCATGTCAATTCAAGTCTAGCACAAGATAAGCATTTACGGCATCAAAGATTAGCAGACACTTGTCATATGTCTAAGACCAGTAAAGTGTTTGAACTTGTACACTCGGATGTATAGGGACCAATTGTTGGATCCTTTAATGGCTATAAATACTTTGTTACTTTTGTTGATGATTTTTTAAGAGTCACTTGGTTATATCTTCTGAAATCTAAGAGTGAAGTCATTGAAATATTTAAGGATTTTCATAACCTTGTAAACAACCATTTTGATTCTAGAATTTAAACATTACAGTTTGATAATGCACCGAATACACATCTCATAACATGCAACAAAATTTAAGCACTCATGGAATCATGCATCAAACAAGTTGTGGTGGGCTTGGCCGAGAGGAAAAATCTTGACTTACTTGCCGAGAGGAAAAATCTTGACTTACTTAATACAAAGAGAGCTTTGATGACACAAATGAATGTTCCTAAAAGATTTTGGCCTCAAGGTGTCTTGACTGCAACCTACTTAATTAACAAGTTAAAGTTCAGAGTTTGAAGTCACCTATGGAGGTGCTTAAAGGAAGAAAAGTTGATATTGATCACTTCAAAGTATTTGGATGCATTTGTTTAATGCGCATTCAGTCTCAACATAGGGACAAACTGGACCTTAGGGCTGACAAATGCATTTTCCTTGGTTATCTATTATCTCAAAAGGGTTGCAAGTGCTTTAACCCTATTTTGAGAAAATTAGTTGTCTAAGGATGTAAAGTTTCAAGAGTCATATCCTTATTACAACATAAAACTTGATGTTTCAAGTGAGGGGGAGTTATTCCTTAAATTATTTCCATTGCCGAGCAATGCATGTCTTTTTTTTAAAGCCCAAGAAACACAAATTGCCTCTCTTTATGAAAGTGATGTCTCACCCATTGAGAAAATCATTGAGGCATCAACAAGTGATGAATTTCCTCAACCTTCAAATGATGA